ATACATTACTACTGGAAAAACCATAGCTTTGACTATGCGGATCTTTGTCGGCAAGGTGATTATTAATTTTATCCCCTCCTATTTTGTGTGTTTTTATAGTTTTTTTTATTTGTAATTGTTTTTATGTATTTATTCTTTTTAATTGTTGTGCACCGCCCAGAGTCACCTTGTGTGAGATGGGCGGCTGTATAAATATGATAAACAAACAAACATGACCCATATACACATGCTGGGCTCCATTAACATCCCATCCCCAGTGCTTGGGGAAAAGCCAAGTCTTCATGGCCTTCCAGAAGGCCAGCAAGGTTGTGGCCACCTGAATTCCCAGGGGAGGCTATCCATAAGGCAGGCACCATGACAGAAGGCACTGTTCCTAGGAGACCAGGTGACACTGCTTCACTGAACCTGAAAGCACTCTGCTGGATCTCTTTGGACAGGCAGAAACCACTGGGGATATTGGTCCCATGCCATATAGGGTTTTAAAGATGACAACCAGAAATTGAATTGTACCCAGAAACTTAGTGGGAGCCACTAAGTGTTATATGGATGTACTGTGGTATACTCAATACTGAACGTGCTGCTGCATTCTTGACCAGCTGAAGCCTCCCAGTCTTCTTCAAGGGCAACCCAACGTGGAACAACTGGGAGACGATTAGTACATGAGTGACCATGAATAGTGCCTCTCTAGGAAGGAGCTGACTTAGAAAACCAGGAGACTGTGAGATCTAGGCCTCTCTTAGGCATGAAAGCTTGCTGTGTGACTTTGGCCAATCTCTCTCTCTCTCTCTGTCTCCCTCCCTCCCTCCCTCTCAGCCCAACCTACATTACAGGGTTGTTATTGTTGGGAAAATAGGAGGCAAGATTCAACCACCTTGAGTTGACATATTCTCTCTCTCTCTCTCTCTCTCTCTCTCTCTCCATATACACGCACACACACACACAAAATAAAAAGGCAGGATAAAAATCTAATAATAATAATTTGTGCAAATGCCTTCCTGGCCATGGTTGCCATCCACTCTTTGAACAGGAGCCATGAGTCCAGGAGGACCCCCAGATTATGCACCAACTCTGTCAGGGGGGCAGTGTCACCCCATCAACAATGGAAGATCACTAAATAGAGGCATCTGATTTACAGTTGTTGAAATCATTCAGCAGTCTTCAGACAAAGATGGACATCTCACATTATAGCTTAGATCAGGGGTTCTCAAAGTACGGCCCGCGGGCCAGATACAGCCCGCCAGGGTCATTTATCTGGCCCGCCCATCTGATTGGCCGCCACTGCTGTCTGTCAGAAGCGGAAGTGTCGGGGCTGTGTCGGGAGTTGCAGGCGATGCACGAGGAGGTAGATCACAGAGCCTACATGACAGGTATGCTGGGTCCGGCGGCTCTCCTCCTCTCCTCATGTTTTTTTCAAACATGGGGCTATAGTCTGGCCCCCCAACATTCTGAGGGACCATGAACTGGCCCCCTGTTTAAAAAGTTTGAGGAACCCTGGCTTAGATGTATAAACTCAATTTATGGATCCTCAGTCCTTACCATATTCCAGCCTCTTCATTTTATTTCTCTTCTTAATCAGTGATGATTGTTTCTTTTCCCTCATTCTACATTTTATGTTACATTATGGCTTAGTGGAAATATGTGGCCCATTCAAAAAGCAGGAAAAAACTAATTGTCTTTATAGTCACTTATTATTTCATGGTGAAAAACCATTCTAAAACATCATAAGAGGTGGAAGCGAAACTACACCACAAATATCAGTGGTAGAATTGAATAGAATATACAGTCATGTGAAAAAGAAAGTACACCCTCTTTGAGTTCTGTGGTTTTACATACAGTCAGGTCCAGAAATATTGGGACATCGACACAATTCTAACATCTT